ATATATATATATATATATATATATATATATATATATATGATAATCATAGCCAGCTGGCTACAATTATCATTGATTTCAAGAAATTCTTTTTTACTGATTTGTGCCATTGATCATTACTTTTTTATACAATACAATTTTTTTTTGAGAACCTTCTGCATGTGTTAGTTACGATTTTACAGTGAGATATTAATCACGAGCAAATTGTTGGTGTGCATAGACAAAAAAAATTATTAGTTGATAAATATATCGCAGTTTTCTATATTATATTTGTTTGAATTTCTTTACGCGTATCAAGGAATAGTTTTAGGTTTTATTATATTTTCCTACTCCAATATAATGATTATAGTATACCTGTAAGTTGTTTGGATTAATTTATTTTACCTGAAAATTATGCAGTCTTGATGTGAATTGATAGTTGCAGATGACTTCTAAAGGAAAAGAAATTTATAATACGATTAAACGTTCATTTGGATCACAAACATTTGGTAGTGCCAGTTCATCAAATCATTCAAGTGGTGCTCGATATGCTGGTAGTTCGACCTCAAAATGGATACATCCACCGGGTTAGTTCAATGAAATGGTTAGGAATTTGTGGAATTTTCATTTTGAATCACAAGTTATAATTTTCTCACTTAGAAATAACTATTGCAGATGTTTTATTGAATGGTCGAGTAGAGTACTCTGTGAAAATGCTTGGTTTTGCAGAAGTTTCTGAACCAAAAGGAACACATGTTATCCGAGAAGCTATTCATGCTATACGGTTTCAGCTTCAGGTATTACATTGCTTGTAAGAAATATCTTCTACTTTCATTTTTCCTATTCATTATTTTTTGCTTTCGTGTGTAAATTAGAGCTTGAATTGGAAAAAAATTCCATAAAAGTATTAAAATAATAATTTGCTGTTATGTATGGCTTCTATACTCATTATAATTATATTCAACTGAGTATGAATACAGTGATGATTTAAAATAGGCAGTGTTAATAATCTCTACTTCTTGAATGAAAATTTAAAGATTTATTCGTTTAAAAGATATAATTCTAACTCAGTAAGCATTAGAAGAAAAGTTAAACGGTATCTTACAAATATAATAATACATGTCATTTATCGTCAATTTATCAATGTCACACTCAAAGTCGCGTTAACAGTTTATTTAATTGCAAAACAGCAATTTCATTCAAACTGTAACTCGAGCATGAAATATTTCTTTTTTAAAGGTATGCTAGACAGAAATAAGTTAATATGTGACAAGACAGTAACCCAGTTTGCCTTGAATTTTGAAACAATTAGGGATCAACAATCATAGTATGTGGTTTCAAATATTGTCATATTGCTGCTATGGTATTTTTTTAAAGGTATGCTAGACAGAAATAATATTAAGGTAAATCGAGGAGTTACGGGACATTCAGGTTCGAAATTGAAGAAAGTGGATCTGCAGATTAATGTCGATGGCTTGACAGTTATCGAAACAAAGACTAGAATGATTTTGTTCAAATATCCACTTCACCGAATTTCGTTTTGTGCTGATGATAAACAGGTTTTTTAGCCTGAAATTTCACATTCTTAATTTCTTTTAGTCTTATACATTTAAGAATAGGTTTATTTCCGAACAAAGCTAATAACGTGACTGAAAACTAATTTAAAATTCCGAAGAACTGCTAATAATTTGATGGAAATTGATTGGTTATTACACTGGCATAAATGTTTGTTCAAGGCTTCGTCATCGTTTTTATTTTTAAAAGCAAATAGTGATGATTGCAGGATAAAAGAGTTTTCTCATTTATTGCCAAAACGGAATCTTCCAACAGACATGATTGTTTCGTTTTTCTTAGTGAAAAATTAGCAGAACAAATAACCCTCACTATTGGAGAAGCATTCGATCTTGCATATCAGGTGAAATTTTTGAGTTCTTTTGACCAGGAATTGTAAAATTAATGTAAACTAACTCGACAAGTCGAATTTTTCACAGATTATTGAGATATAATGTTGCAATATTTGATGTTGTAAACTTAAATTTATCTTGTAATATTTGTTGGATTGTCAACCTTGCATTTAAGAAATTTTTGGAAAAAAATGGTCGGGACTTAGAAAATAAGAAACAGCTAATCATGTTGAGGAAACGGATCGCAGAATTAGAGCAAGAAAACAGTGAACTTAAAGACAAGCTTTCATGTATGAAACGATGTCAACAGGTTCTTCATCATTTATTTTTTCATTTCCTCTTTAAAGAAAATACAGGATAGAAATGTTAAACTTATACTTGTATTAGAAGTTAAAATTCTCTTTTTAGGAGGATTCTGCGCCTCCTTTACCAAATTCACCGGTGCCTCGGGAACCTCCTCCAGGAATCACGACTTCTGTAATAAATAATTCAATACCAGCAATTGTCCCTCCGCCAGCTATTCCACGAAGATACATGAGTGCTGTTTTAACAACAGATACTTCAACGAATGTACCTCAGGTTTTTTTTTAGAAAAACTATTTACTTTCAACTACTTCGTATAACTTTATTCTTTTTTTATAATTTTCCTGAAATAAGATCGGAAATTTTTTCCAAACTAGCAGTTTTCAAGTGTTGTGTTATCAGTCACTTCTTTTCATTAAAAAAACAAATTAAATATTAAAAAAATTTCTTTATGTGCTTTACATTGCTCATTAGAAATATCGCAGTTATTTAATTTTTTTTTTTGATAATCTAGAAAAAGTTTCATTATTAATATTCTTAATTGAGAGATATTTGCAGTCTCTTGCATGCTTTCATAGAAATTTAACTGTAGTTCCAGATTACCATTCAAATTTAGGTTGGGAGGCGCTTAGAAAATCTGCAGTTGGATAAAATGGAAAATTTGTTTGATGATGAGTTTGATCCACGAGCAGGTGAGAGGAAAAAATCAACTCATGTAGATGGTGCTGTAAAAATGGACATAAAGGATAAATTTGGTCTTGATCCGTTCGGTGATGACTTCATGAACGAAGTTCTAGTATGTCTTTTTAACATTTTTTAAATTTCTCTCTGCAGTTCGAGACTTAGCATTTGTCAGTAATTAGATTTCTTTGCATCACCATATTATTAGGGTTTGGAACGCAGGCCAAACTTCGAAGAACCATCAATTTCCGAACACGAACCTACACCGGAACAGTTTGATGAAATGTTGTCAATAGTAAGCTTATTTTGGCATCTGTTTTGTCTCAAAAATTGAGAAATAAGTTGTCTGAAATGTCTTTAAAGTTAGTAAACTTCTTGTCAAGTTTCAATGTCTAGAAAAACTCTCCCTTTGTATTTCTTTCAAGCATTTTACATACAAACATGTAAGATTCTTAAAAAACATAATTGAACACTTGCTGGACCAATAATTTAATTTCTAAACTGGTTTTATGGAGGAATGGCTTTTAGGTTGACAGACGACTAACGGAATTACGAGATGGATTTGCCCTTGGACATCTGGCAATGGGAGACACGGGTGATGCAGCTCGTGATTTGCACAATATTTATGGAGTTCCACTTCATTCTTTAGATAGTCATACAGATGATAAAAATACTGCACAAAACGGTTATACGTAGTAGAATTGAAAAGCTTATTTTTTGTTTTTTCGATCAGGTAGTACGTAAAATAGTCTTTTACTGCTTCTATATAGTCATTTCCTTGCAGCTTTTTTATTTCATTTGTAAGCTGTAGTAGCTATTAGTCAGCAAGATTCAAAACTAGATAAATTATGACTATAATGTAAAGAATAAATGTACATGCTCGATGATAAATTTCCAGAACTGCCAATTATTGATAGCTTAAGTATTTAGTTGCAGAGTGGTAAAAACTTTGTTGGAAATTTGTTTCGAAAGAGTTCAATAGGGGATAGGCATCGTACATAGTCCAACTTTGTTAGTCAGATAGTGCAGTTTTGTGTAGTATACAAAATTTGACATTATTTTATGATTCCAATTGAATTATGGAAGAACAAACAAAACAGTAAGAGAAAATGTTTTGCTCGCAGTATGTAATCAGTGCTTCGGAGATACAAAACTCCTATCATTCTAAAAAGTCATGAAGTTTATCAGAAATAATGTGAAATAAAATAGTTCATATCGTTTATTCAGCATAGTTTTCCTGTCACTTTTCTCTTATAATTCAGTTTGCATCGTTTATTTATATATCCTTTTCCTGACGTTAACGCGCTGCGGGAATTACTGGCTTATACTCGCCGAATCGCATATTTTATTGCAGAAGTGTTGGGTTGTCTTTTATTAATTATTGTGTGCATAAATATATACATGTATGCAACTTGATTGAAAAAATGAGTACAGGTAAGCACGATAAAAATGTTTAAGATCAGAGGTTACAGAAATAGTAAGACAATGCGAAAAGTTGTAGTGGAAGCTGCCACTTAAGGGTTTCCTTCATGGTCTTTATTTAGTCGGTACGTGAGTTTCATAGGGGTGCTAAAGATGGGATGCATATATATGGGGCTGTGCGGTGTATTCTTCAATTCAATCACACGAATGCACTTTTCTAAACTAATCTCGTCGAGGCGTGCAAGGTGGTGAGATTCAGGACGTACCAGGCAAGTTTTGTGTGTATAAGTTCTCGCAATTGTAGATATTTGTGATATTGATGCGTCAAATCAGGCGAAGAATGTTCTTACTCTTCAGTGTATAAGATTTATGCTTAGATTTATGGCTCACTGATTTACGTAAATATGTGTGTAGAAGGCTGCTATTTACTCTTCCGAAATTTCTTATAATAGTTTAGAAGTTAAGGAAGTAAAATTATGGAAAGATCCAGGTGTGATTGAAATGTCGTCTTATCAGTTAATGTTATTCTTCGAAGAAGTGATTATTATCCAGAAAACTGATCATATTCTCAGAGCACTGTTCTGATAAGTTTAACCCGAATCTTTTTTTAAATAACCTGAATCTGTAAATTAGGTACATAATGATTTTTTTCAAAAAGGGTGCATTTATTCAAAGTCAAACAAATTGCTTTAGTTTTAGAAAGGCGTCTCTGGAAAATAGAGCTAATTAAGTATCAGAGTATCAGTTCATTCGTTATCATATTCATTTGGCTCCCCACCCTAACAAACACTGCAGTAGGTTCAACGCTCAAATAGTTTATCGTTCTCATAATATCTGTCTACGCGAGAGATATTTTAACAAACTTTTTACTTTTTTAATGGTGAACTGATTTTTTAGAGAAATACTTCGGTATAGTATCTAGTGATACACTGTAACTTCGGATAACGATATGATGGAGGTGGAATATAACAATATTTTTCAAGAGCACATGGGCATTATGGTTAATTTTTATATATTATTGATATTTTAGAAGTAGGGATGAGCGGAAAGACGAAGGAAAAGGGGTGAGTAGCGCTTGAAAATAACTGCGAACATATCTGCGAATAATTTCGTAATTTACTGCTAAATGATAATTACAGTCGTTAGTTACGATACATAGTTGATAATACGGAGTGTTGTATTAAATTTCAAAAATTCTGTCATCATATGTACGTAAAAGATTGTTACGATCTTAAAGACAAGAAAATCTTCAATATTGTTTACAGTGGAACATAAGCTTTTTAAAGGTGTTATAAATTACTGTTTTGTGCAATGCCTGAACTTTGAATGAATTAAATTAGCATGAGTTTTTATTCTGTCATTGAAAACGGACAAAAATTGCGGCTGGTAATTCCTTGCAGCATTATGGCCGAGTAAAATTGAGTGATTCACAAATAAGCTTCAAAAGCAATAAAAATAACCGAGCATTAACGATCAATTCTTCGAATATTGAAAAAATTGATTGGATGCGTATTGGAAATAAACCAGGCATTCGATTAAGCCTCACTTCGGGAATTCGGCATCGTTTTGGTGGTTTTGTGGAGAAGGTTGCAGTATTTTAGCCGTTTTGAATTGTAATTTCTATATGATCAAAATAGTAGCCCCCTTTTTTCTATCTTTAGTAATAAAATTGGCCATTTGTTTGAGAATTTCGAGGAAATCCAGAAAATTGCAAAAGATAGATGGGATATTGATGTTGAATGTATTGAACAGTGCATCAAAGGTTGGAACTATGGAAAAGCAGAGATAAAAGGTGACTTTGTGATTGTGTCTTTAAATTTGTCTTGTACTTGTTTTACATTTTGAAATGCTTTCTCAGTTACGCAAATTGGCTCTAAAGTATTTTGTATTAGTTAATAAAAAACTAATGGTTGTTTATTTGCTCAGATTGTTACAGGGCAAGTTCTTGAGTTTGAAGTTGACGACAAAACTTGCTTTGAAATTCCTCTAAGCAATGTCAGCAATTGTACAGCTGGGAAAAGTGAAGCAGCTTTGGAATTTCATCAAAGTGATGATTGTTCAGTATCTCTAATGGAAATGCGTTTTCATATCCCAACAGATCCGGATGCAGATGAGGATATTGATCAAGTGGAGGTGTTTTTATATTACATCATTAAAGTGAAGTAGAAATCATGCTTATTCTTTATTTTATTTTTATTACATTTGTTCATCAATCATATGTTACCGGAAGTTTCTTTATAGGAGTTTAGACGTGCTGTAATGCAGTATGCTGGAATTGAAACAGAAACAGATCAGCCAGTGGCAATTTTGCAGCAAATACTTTGCACTACTCCTCGGTAACCAAATCGTATAATTTTAAAATCTTTTAAAATTACAAATGGCATCAGTCAGTCTGATTAATATTCACTCGCAGTTAGATTTGAAAAAAGCATAGTATTGAAGATTGAAAAGTTTCACTTAAAAATCGAACGAATTTTATGATTATTTGCAGTGGTCGATACGATATCAAAGTATATCAGAATTATTTATCCTTGCATGGTAAAACATACGATTACAAAATCCCAATCCGTACTATTATGAGACTTTTTTTATTACCCCACAAGGATGGACGTCATATGTATTTTGTGGTATAATTTAAAACCTGTTCAATTAGTTCTTCAGAGTAGATTTTTGGGTATATACCACTGGAGATGAAAACCGTTACCTAATAATTGGATTTGTTCCTGATATATTCTGGTTCAAAATTTTAGATCAGTTTGAACCCTCCAATTCGTCAAGGTCAAACTCGTTATCATTTTTTGGTTCTTGAGTTTTCAAAAGATGAAGAAGTCGACCTCGATTTAGGTCTTACTACGTAAGTTGAAGTACTTATTACTCGCGTATTTTGTTTGATCTTATAATAAATGGATATACACATGTCAAAAAATAATTAATTTGCAGAGAACAACTGAAAGAGCAGTACAAAGGGAAACTTGACAAACGGATGAGTGGAACTGTATTTGAAGTTGTGTCAAAAATATTTCGTGTTATGGTTGATATGAAAATTACTGTTCCTGGAAGTTTTGTTGGGTATAATTTCAATTTTCATTCATGGACTTTTTTGTAATGGGTTTGGAAATTATTAATAAAATATATTTTTTTAGGCATTCTGGAACTCCAGCAGTTATGTGCGCTCATAAGCAAGCTTCAGGATTTCTATATCCATTAGAGAAAGGATTTGTTTATGTTCATAAACCACCTATGTATATTCGCTTCGAAGAGGTAGCTTTTAAATTTCCGTTTTTATAACGCTTTCGTAAAATTATTGCTGTTTGTTCTAATTTTTTATTTGATTATATATAATTCTTCTTATGTCTATTTTAGATAAGTTGCGTGAATTTTGCTCGATCTGATGTGTCTACGCGTTCTTTTGATTTTGAAATTGAAATGAAAGGGGGTAGTGTACTCATATTCAACAGTGTTGAAAAGTGCGATATAAACCTTATTATTTATTGTATTCATAATCAATTAGTATTCGTAGTTTCATGTATAAACAGTCATATTTATTCAGTAATATAAGGTTTTTAGGGAAGAATATAATCGTTTGTTCGACTTTGTGAACAATAAACATTTGAGAATAAAAAATGCGAAAAGATTGGTTTGTTATTTTTTCATTCTTTAGTTACCAAATTGATTATAAGTAGTTAGTTGTGTGTCTATAATAGTAAATATATGGTCTGATCTTCACAGCAAGTCAGTAGTTACTTCATTGGGTTGTTTGTGACAGAAAAATTTTTTGTAAGATCATCAATATTTCAGTGCACTGTTTTTTATCTTTGGTATCAGTTATGTCATTTAGAATCGTATGTTGATTCTGTTAAAATTATTGTTGTTTACAGGATAAGCCATCATATACGGAAAATCTTGGCGGTAGTGACGATGAACTTGATCCATATAAAGAAACTCTTAAAAAAGAAGCAAGAGATAAGGAAGGAGCACAGAGTGATGAAACGGATAGTGAAGACAGTTCGTGCTCATGAATTTTTTCTAATTTTTCAATTCGTGATTGAGCATCAGAATTATTGTTCTTTTGTTGGAAAAAAATTGATCTGAAGTTACTGAACTCTTTATAGATGACTATAGTCTGGATGAAGACGATAAGAAAAACAGCTCGTCGGAAAGTTCAGGCAGTGGACCGGATGAAGAATACGATAGTGGTTCTGTCCATTCATCTGCAAGTGGTGGAGATAATAAAAGGAGGAAGTCTCCTAAACCAAAGAAAATGGTAAAATTCTTAAAAGTGAGAAAATAATTACTTGTAGAACCATTTTCACTGTATCTTTTATCAGGGAAATGGTAAAACTTTTTTCTAAGATAATATTTTCAAAAATGGAAGTTCTGTTGAAATCTGAGGGTTATAACTAATGACAGAATAACCATTTTCTTAGAATAAGTTTTTAAATTAAGGAAAGAATCTAGAGTATTTTAAATATTTAATGCAGGATTCTTCGAAAGTGTCTAGAGTGCCTAAACGAGAAAAAAAGAAAAAGGATCCTCATGCACCTAAAAAGCCGCAGTCTGCATATTTTATTTGGTTTGGAGAAAATTATTCAAATTTTAAAAAAGAAGGAGTACCAGTTACAGAAGCCGCCCAACGAGCTGGTAAAATGTGGAAAGAAATCGATGAAGATACAAAAAAGGTTGTGCAGGATTGAATCAATTATTTTGGTCCAAAACATACTTTTTCTACTACCTTTGAAAGTAATTTTTGATTATTTAGACATATGAAGAAAGAGCGAAAAATGATAAAGAAAGATATGCCCGAGAAATGAAAGAATATTTGGCAAATAAAGGACCTGCGTCCGCTGCTTCTCCATCTTTAAGTGGAAGCAAGAAAGCAAAGAAAGCAAAATTAGAGTAACACTTCTTTTGACGTTTGCAGGAAATTAAGTTCTGCTTTATTCTTCAGTTTCTAAACGATTCTAGACACATCATCCTACTTTTTTAAGATTTATTTGTTTGCTTGTATGAAAGGAGTTTCAGGTCACCTGTGAAACAAAATTCGAAGCAGAAATCAAAAGAATATATCAGTGATACGGATAGCAGCAACGAATCAGCGAAAATTAAGGAAGAAAAGATGTATTAACTGTTATATATGTAATCAATAAAGTAACATGAGGTTTTGGTATTTTTGATTCAGTGTTATTCATAGCTTGAAAAATAAGTAGCCAAAGAAATGATAGACATAATTACAGGTAAAAAGTAATTGCTATTCGGTGAGTTTCGTCAAATTTGTTAGCGCCATTTGGTTGCAAAATTTAGTATAACTGGTCATATGTCTATATCAGTAATATATGATCCTCAAGACCGTCAGTAATCCAAATAACTGGTCTAGAACAAACTCTCCTTGTCAGATTGTTTTTGATTAGTATTGATCATTCTGCAAAAGAATTGTTATTTTGGATCAAGTTTTTAATAAGGTGTAGAAATTTCGAAAACGACAGATTTGCCCATGTTGTTATCAGATTGCCAAATCAGAAGTCGATGTCAGCAGTGATGATGATGACCATATGGTCATATGTCTATATCAGTAATATATGATCCTCACTGCCAAATAAAGAAAAAAAAGCAATATTAATGAATAATGCTGAAAAAACTGGATTACCTTCCGTCGTCTATTATTATGTACTTGTGAACAGTCTTTCAATGTGCATAAATTTCTATAAAAATCCGAGTAGGGTGTGCATACATCTTTCGACTTTCCCTACTCATCTAAAGACATTGTTTCCATACAGCAGGTGAACTAATTTGCTTCCAAGGCTCTCTCTTATGGGACTATAAGGAGCGACGAATTGCATCCACACGTCAAGATTTAACGGACTGCCAAATAAAGATGCGAAGTCTCTGTCTTCGAGATTTGCTAGGCATAAAGCGGTTGTGTGTCAGTGTAAGAAGTATTTAATGTATATGTGTCGGCGTTTCACTTTTTGTTTGTAATGAAAGATAGTTGTGGATTACAAATCGTTTCCAATGAGACTTTAATTAGTTTTTGAATAGTGGATGGTTATAATTGCTAATCTACTGTTGATGTACTTGTTTCCACTTTTGAACTGTCATCGGTTCCGTATTTTTTAGAACTATTCTGCTATGGATAAGCCAGTGAAGCTAGCGAAAGTAACTAAGATTCTTGGACGTACTGGTTCTCAAGGACAGTGTACGCAGGTATGCAATATTTTCTTCAAGTAAATAAATAAAGTTGTTCTACTTTAGATTTATTTGTGGTAGGATTTGGCAAGTAATTGGCCTAAAGTTTAAGACATTTTGAGCTTTCTTTCTATTCATTTACAGCTATTGTTTTTGCATCCTAACTATTTCATAGCTAAAATATACTGAAAACTAATTGTCCAAATTTACTTATCATTTGAATAGTTGTTAAAAAGAAGAATAAAGTTAGCAGAGTAGTGTTTGTGTGTATTTGTATTGCAAAATGAAGTTATGTCATCTAATGCAGGTGCTTGTTGACTTTATCGATGATCCTTCAAACCGTTCAATCATACGAAATGTGAAAGGACCAGTTCGAGAAGGTGATATTTTAACGTTACTGGAAGCAGAAAGAGAAGCTCGTCGACTTCGTTGATTTTGTTGTTTTTTTTTCTCATTGTAATGCGTGAAGTAAGGTTTTTTTATCGCCTTAACCTGATCATGCTTTGAAAGGAAATTCCGTCTTGTTTGTTTCGGTAATTGTTACTTTTATTTTTCATGTTTTTGATGTAATAATCACTTCCGAATATTACTAAATGTGATTTGTCCAATAAAATTGACTTTTAGATTGCTGATTAGCCTTCTTTGTCTTTTACATGTTTAACTACTTTATTAGTAAAGGAGAAATGTTTGTGCGTTCTTGTGTTTCAGAACAGCATAGAGTAAGGCATATTTATATTAGTAATTTTGCTTATAACAAAGTACTGTGGTGTAGAATTTTAATTTCATCTAGTACTATTCAGATATAAATGAATTAAATAACAAAATATGGATAGGAATGAAACTCATAGGCTTGCGATCAAACAAACTTTTATTGGTCGAGGCTGCGCGAAGCGTAAGAGTTGCTTGGATTGGTCAAAAGTGATAGATGTCGTCGTATTTGCCTCCTTCCGAGATATTTGCTTTGTTATACCAAATGTAAGGGTTATCAGGACTTTCAATCAATGTCTTTCAGACATAGTAATCTTGATATTGCTTCTGGCATGTTTTTGTGGTTAAAGTTTTAGTATATTTGAGGTATGTTTGGGGATTTTTAGTTTATGGACATAAGATCTTGGGATTTGGGAATTGGTAATGGTTGCTGAATATATTTTCTTTTGTGGACGTAGATTGAGGAAGCGGTTCCCACTTAGGTTAAGGAAATTTGAGTCCTTTTTTTTCGAATTCTTAAGTCTCTGTCATCCAGTATTTTTGGCACAGTTTAGTTTGAATATTTTTTGCTAGCAATTTATAATCTTGAATAGTTCTGAAAATTAAGCTACTAAATTCGAAATAGTCATGTTTAGGAAAGTAGTCGGTGCACTTCTATTAATCAGACGGTGGAAGCTCATGATTCCTCAGTAACTTGCTTGAAGTTCTTGTATCGTCGTTCAAACTGTAAGTTAATTGATGGCCCTAACAATGTGATTGGTAATGATGGCTTTTCAAAGTTTTGTTAAGCAGTCATATTAACTAGAATTAGCGGTCACTGTTTTCATTTCAAACAAATTGTGCATTTAAGTATAAAATGAAAGTCGTATGTCATAATTTTGGCTTTTATCGACTTCTGTTGTTGACATCTAAACAAGATTACTTGAAGACATTAAGGTAGCGAAGATGTGGATTACTTATTAACAGGAAGCGCACGTGGAAATGTTCGTTTGTGGGCAGTGAGCTTGTCAGAAAAATCCGTAGTTGTCGCATTGATTAGTGATTTCGGTATAAAATAGATTTTTTTGAACTTTGCTATTTCTAAAACGTTTGGTAGTGACTGATTACTTATAACTGATTTCTATGCGAAAAACACTTCGAAAAAAGATATTTAAGATGTTCAAAGTGTTGAAATTTCAGTGAATATAGCGGTTGGACCTATAAACTGTTGTACTGGTGTTGTATTAGACTTTATTTCAAACGATGTTATCATTATTGGTTACGCTTTACCAAACAGTTTGCTAAATGTTGAACGACTAACTGTTAGGAAGCATCCTATGGAGTTAGTTCAAAAAGAGAGCTATGGATCAATTTCAGTCAAACCTGCTTTAATCGTTTCTCTTGCTGTTTACAGAGCTTCAGCTGGTATAGTCTTTTGAGATTGCTTAGACTATAAATGTACCGAAAAATTTATTTTTTGAATGTTTTCGCCTCAGATGTTAACTTAAATCTGTCTGTTATTTTATGTTCTTGTTTTCATGTTCATTGAAAGCTATATTTCAGAGAATGTATTGTTCATTGTAGGAACAACCAGTAATAATATTGATTTGATTTGTGCATCATGCACTGGTGTAAGTTTCTGGCTCATTTTTCTCTTTATGAAGTGTTTGAGATATTTTATTTTGTATTTACTACTTTTGCCTTTGAATATTAATGTATTTAATGAGTACTCTCTATCCTTATAGGCATTATGGTTACAAAAAGTTTCGAGCGTTCGAGGGCATTCTGACTGGGTTTGTACCATAAGTATAAGTGGTAAATTTTCATTGTTTTTAAATAAAATATTCTTGCGAGTCTACTCAAATTCAAATTCTTTCAGTTTGCCGCAAAATTATAATCATCTCTATATATTATGAGTTGAGAAACGAGATTGAACAGTTAAACAGAGTTTGATCTTGCTAATATTTGCGCTTAATATAATTGGATCTTGTTTCAACCTCGATCTTCATTGTTCTTAATTAAAACTTCTGATATGAAAGTTATTGTGTAAAATAGACATCTTAACATTCGTCTTATTTATGCGATTGCTGCTGGGAATGTAAGAGGTTTCTTTCAATTTTTAGTGCACCAGTCTGAAGGTGTTAAAAGTAGATCTATCTTTTTCAGAGTATGAAAATAACATTTTGGTAGCTACAGGAGGGAATGAAAGTGTCATTCGCATTTGGCGCTTTGATTTGTACCAAAATGATACGAACGAGGTTAAAGAAAGTAACACAGCTGCGGTAGTAGTGTCATTCAATTTATTTGATCCAATCAGTGATGGTATTTTTGTTTTTTTAAGCATTTGAAATTTCAGGTTTAAATGAAATTTTTTTCTATCATTATGCTTGTTAATTTTATCAATTTCTAGTGAAATAGAGATGTGAACAGTTTTTATTCTTTCAGCTTCTCATTATACACTTCATATTTCTCTCTTAAGTATCTTAAATGCTCATCATGATTGGATCTGTTCTCTGGATTGGCATCCTTATAAGATGTGGCTCTTGAGTTCATCAAATGATAAAACAGTTATTGTATGGGAATCTGCAGAAACTGATCCTAATTTATGGTCAGATAGAGTATGTTTATTCTGGGTATAAATCATTAAATTTGTATACTTATATTTTATTAATGCATAAAAATACTCCTGAAAGCAAAAGACAAATGAAATTGTGAAATGTGTTAGACAGTGAATAAAGTTTTGCTATTCGTTAGTTTTTTTGTTCCAGTTTTTAAAATAAAATATATTGCTAGAAAGCTCATCACAAGTTTTTTGTTTATTTCAAAATTTTGAATTGGTTTTTTTGTTTGTCATATTCAATTTTCCAGAGTTGTGGATATTTTAATTCACACTGAATTGTATTTGAAGCAGTATTAGCATTTGCGCCTTTGTATTTAGATTTTACAGTTAAGCATTTTTTCTCTGCTGTGATAGATATATTTAGGCACGCATGGGTAGTATTGGAGGACAGGCTGTTGGTTTTTTTGGAGCATGTTTTTCGTCAGCTGGTTCCACCATTCTAGCATATACGTACTTTGGTGGTTTTTGCTCATGGCAGCTAGAAAAAGTTTCTTAATTCAGATTATTAAATTTTTTGAAAAATCGTAGTGCATGCAACACGAATATTTGTTAAGGAAATTACCTTTTTTTTAAATGAATTTTCATTTAAATATTATTGGTTTCAGAATAACAGTTGGAAGAGTGTAGCAACTTTTGGTGGGCATTCAGGACAAGTTAAAGATATTGCTTGGGATCCTACTGGAAGTTATTTATTATCATGCTCATGCGATCAAACAACTAGATGTTATGCTCCTTCTGCTGATGATGCTAGTTTCTTCACATTTCTATTTAAAAGTCTTTTTAAAAATCTACGATCATTTGACAAGGATGTAATAAAATCTACTTTTTTCCAAATATATTTATTAACTGTAAGATTTTGAACTGCCAGAAGTCTTATAATTATAAATATGGTTCTTTTTATTTTTCTTTGGCATATAAACGCTCAACTATTATAGGGTGTGATAAGTGAAATTAGTCGGCCACAGGTGCATGGATATGATTTAAAAACTATTTCCTCCATTTCAAGGCATGTATTTACTTCACTTTTTCCCTAATACCTTCATTTATTTAATACTATATATTATGTATTTGCTTTAGTACTTGCTTTGTATCTGGAGCTGATGAAAAAATATTTCGAGTTTTCACAACACCACGTAGTTTTATCAGAACGTTGAGAATTGTTTCGAAGTTTGACTGTAATCAGGTATTGTCTCGTTTTATTTTTTTAGAATTCTCATAAATATATCTCGTTTCAAGTTCCGCTTAAACACATACACATTGATTATGAATATACAATGTATGGCGAGGTATATTGTAGTCACGTTGTTTGAAATAAATTTTTAGTTGGTTCTGGATGAACTGCAGCTTGCTCAGCGCAATGTTAGTATTCCAGCATTAGGTTTATCAAATATGGTTTTGCATAGTGAAGACAGCGAAAATAATGAAGATTTCTATAATAGCAGTGAGTATAACAGCAGTATATTCGAAGAAGGTCTGCTTAACTCATTATATTCATCCTTTTATCTCATCAAAATTCATATTCCATGGTTTTGTTGGTAATTTGGGCAGCAAAAGCAAAAATATAGGATTGCAAGTCGAGGAAAAACTAATGGAGAGCACGTTGTGGCCAGAAATTCAGAAACTGTATGGGCATGGATTTGAAGTGTTTACAGTTGCATCAAATCATTCTGGAACACTTGTAGCAACTTCGTGCAAGGTTGGTTAATTTTTTCACCTTTCAAAAAGTAATGTATATATAGAAATTGAGAAGATGAAACAGTATATTGTGTAATGACTGTTTGATTATGCATTTGTAAATAGTGAATTTGTAAGTTGTTTGAGATTGATTGCATTGAAGACGAAAGTAGATATAGATTTCAAAAGGATTTCAGGCAAGTACGGAGGAAAATGCCTTTATTCTCATTTGGGACTCTGATCAATGGAGGCACCGATGTCACATACGATGCCATAAACTAACAGTAGTGCAGCTTGCGTTCTCAAATAGCGAATCATTTTTATTGTCTGTTTCCCGTGACAGGACTTTTGCTATTTCAGCCCGTTCTTCTCGAAGTCAGTTTCTTCATTTACGCAAATTTTAAGAAAATGAATGAAGTCGAAATTCAGTAAAATAACTGAATTTGCAGAAATTGAAAAAATTGATGAAATTAAATGTTGAGACATTTTGAATCTTTATATTATTTATAATACATATTTGACTTTAATTTTTAGTCCTGTGCTGACTAATTTCGTTTTGGAAGTAGTGATCTTTCTTTCAGATCTTTATGACTGGAGAGTTTTGTTGACTTCAGAGCAAAAGTATAGTAAAGTACACACACGTATTATTTGGTGTTGCTCTTGGAGTCCTGATGACAGATATTTTGTTACAGGATCTAGAGATAAAAAGGTGATGTCTAAAAAGCTTCTTTACTTTTTTTATTAACTTTACATATTAACTTTACATAAGCAGTTTCCGTCTGGTTGCATATAGTTCATTTCGAATTCTTTTTACAGCTCTGTATTTGGTGTTTTGATGGTAAGGATATTCAACTTCTTTTACAAAAAAAGTATGCACATGCTGTCACAGCTGTAGACTTCTTGCCAGAGCAGTGTAACAAGTAAATCTTGGATTTAATTTTTCTTTTAGCCTAAAACATTTCTGTACTAATCATGTCATGACTTTTCTTATATTCAAAGATTATAACTAAAAGTGCCACAGATTAGATAGCTGCTTATGTCAGTTATCCATTTTCAGTCATTACATTCTGGCACTTGGTTTTGAAAATGGCAACATTAAAATTGAGAGATGGAGTCCTGCTGAAAGTGATAATAATGACAGTACCAGCTGCTTGAATCATCTATCAGCTCATTCAGAAACAATAAATACATTGAGGTGTTTTGTTTTTTCTTTTCATATATGTTGATAATGGTATTATTGCAATTTCATTTCAGAATCAAAAAGTGTTTTCTAATGGTAGTTGCCAGTAAAGAAGTTTTATTTTTGAGTAACTTCATGATTTTTAAATAAAATTTTTTGAAGCAGTTTTTTTGAGAAAAAAACACCATTTTAAGAGCTAGTTATATGTTATATTACTTATGATTTTTTAGGTTTCGTCCAATAAAAGGTTCTTGGTTAAATGGCGCATCAGAAAATAATATGTGGGAGCTGGCATCAGCAAGTGATGACTCTTCGGTCAAAGTTCACCAGCTAATTTTATCATAAGGTGATTGCATAAGTAAGCTATCAGAAATAACTAGTGATCATAAATAAGTTTGGTATGAATTAGTTGCATCAAAGTTTTTATTTATTTATAGAGTTTAGCCTCATCTGTTTATTTATAGGTCAGTTATTTCGAAGCTGGAGTAATCGTCTTTTCCAAAATATGTATTTAGAAGGTTGAAATTTTAAAGTTTACCGAAGTTCGTCCATTCATTTTATTTAGCAAGAAATTAATATTGGCCCTACTTTTTGTGTGAAATGACACTGATAGCAAATATCGTAATACTTATGGAATTGATGTGTTTTGCATGAGAAAAATTCAAGGGATAAGTTGATCTCTATCTGATTCCTTGAAATTCCTGGAAATATTCTAAAGATATTTCTAGGATATAGAATTAAAACCAAAAATATAGAATTTGTACTTCGCCGAAGAATCAAATTTAACAGATCGAGATTTCTCAGATGTCTCCATTAATAGAAATTTTGCTTCAATTCAGTAGTGATACAGACTCATGAATTGATCAGGAGTAATAAAGATGATGCCATTATACTTGGTTATAGAGTTTCTGAAATTGATAAGCTCTTGTGAGATGAAATGTCCTGTTTATTATTTGCCAAATGTAATGTAGAAGATGAAGTCGTGCTGTTTGGTAATCTTTGTTAGTCGGATCGATCCATCGATTATTTAACAGTAGCGACTTCGGAATTGTTGGTTTTGAGATTTTAATTTGACTTTGGAATATTATTTTGGTATTATACGGTACTGATTGCCTTTAATGCATTTTATTTGCATGAATAGCAATTTTAGTTGATGTTATCATTTTTGCACCAAATGCCGCGCACACTATAATGACTTCGAAGATGTTATGAATTTCTTTGTGTTTGAGGTAAAAATAAATGCTCCTTATGCATTTGTGGACTATTGAGTAAAATCATTAATCATGCAAGCTATTAATTGACAAGAAGCAATGATTAGGGTAAAATGACATACGTTACTCTTACTGTAATACTGCGTTTGCCTTGGAATAGTATTTCTCTGTAGTAAATTAGAGTGAAGCTTTGAAGTCTAAGACGCACAAACTTTGTTTTTAATTAACGTAAGATGTAAGTTTCTTCCTGGAATAGTTCGCGTAATTATCTATAGTATGCACAGCAATGATTGTATCTCGCATATTATGGATAAAATTTTAAATTGATTTGGAAATTTTTTCACAGACATTAATCCGTTATGCGATTTATATATGAGCATAGCCAAAGAAGCTTATGATAGTGTTTCTTCAAGGTCAGCACTTCAAAATTTGTAAGTTTTTTTGGGATGGACTATTTTTACATTATAATTGTATTTGCGAAGAGCAGAGGCTTGAAATGTTCAATGAAACAACGTTGTAACTGTACTTCTTGTTCGTTCCATCACAACATCTTGTTCTCTCGCACTATTTGCATTGACAATGCTGATTTGTTCCGTGTGAAAAAAAGTAATTAAATAAATAACAGAAACGAAAACGATAAATTATAAAAAGACGCTGAGTAAAGAAGTAAGCAGACATCAAATTTATTTTGTAGCAGATTTCATTTGAAGCCATTGGTCAACAGCTTCCAGCTAAGTTTGGATAGTCTTAGTTACTAAAATTTGTCATATGTGAAATATCAGGAAAATGGCAATAATGTATGGAGGAGATCTGTTCTATGTGTGTTAAGTAATGAGCAACGACCGCTTATTACAGACTTTTTCGCTTAATGAATAGAGAGCTTTTTGAAATGGTAAATTTTTATGAAACTTTAAATAAGGATGTGATTTCGCCTGAATATTTTTATATATCACACACTTAGAAGAAGTCAAATAGAAAACACAAAATAAATACAATGAAGTGAAGTTGGGATAACGCAAACATAGACGTGTTTTTTTGCATAAATTAGTAAATGTCGAGGTTTGTGTCATTTATAGTGAGAAATAAAGCATACAGCAGCATTTGTAACAAAACTTGCAGTTTAGTGTATTTCAGAGAATGATGACATATGAACTGAGGTCGAGAGCTGTGATTGGTTTGCAGAAGGAGAATGTAAGGAATGTATTCCTCTATTACTCTCTCTTTTGTGGGCATCATTAATACTACTTGCTGCATCCGATGATTCTAAAGGGTAAGAAAAATTAGAAGAATCTTGATAATTTGTTGTTGCATGGATACTTTCTTGTTTGTTTAAATAAACAGTATTTGGGTGTATGTGAAAATGATAATCACAAAAAGAGTTATAAAAATTGTATCCATTTTGATCATGTTTGTAACGCTGCTGTTGAGTAAGAGCCAGTAAACGTGGTGGCACGTTTAGTAGTGTAGCTATCAAATTGGTTGTCGTTTGACTCATTCCATTGCTTAACATATTTGCATATTCTAAAGGACTTGGTTGCATGTTGTTGTCCAAAATATGATTCAAAGCAGCGATATAGTTCCTGCAATACAAAATGATATCATTGCAGCAACACGATATTTCTAAAAGTCACTGTCAGTGCGCGATCCTATGAAAAATTATGAGAATCGTAGTCGATAGCTTTTAATTATGTAGCATTTTTCTTATCATTAATTGTGATTAACACGAGATTCACAATCAAAAGCAGTTATTCCTCACATACTGTAGTATAAATATCATTTGATCAATCTGCTGAAATATCACTCACAAAATTTTGATGCTAGCCTCTAATCACTGCCATCAAAAATTGAAAATATCTAGTAAACATCTCTGCTAATAATATTATTCATCATTCATACAGTATGGACCCAATAACATCATAGTATTTTGTTCGGTAAAATAGAATCGATTTTTTGTTGTTGATGCTGTTGTCATTAGCGTAGCTAAATTTTGTGAACATAAGAACTGATTATGTTAGCTGACTTTCAGACCGAGCACAGATTTTGTGCAGCTTTATCAAAAAATACAAAGTGTGTATTCATTTTTATATATTATTGCTCGAAATATGTCGAGTCTACAAAACATAAACTGGAATTAAGGAATGGACAGAACTGATGCCATAGTGATGAAAGCAAATTTAAAAAAGCAGAAATGGAATAATCTTTTGGGATGGGTCAATTAGACCGGTGCAAACAAGATTGATGTGAAAGACGAAATGGTGACAATTTAAGCAGAAAGGGATGAGGCGAGAATATGGCTAAATTACTATTTTCAATCTATCATTAATATCTTATGAAAAATTGTTGTTTCTCTCAAGGCTAAAGGTCAGCCAGTACAAAGGTAAGCTTTGTATTGGAAATTACATTCGCAGGACTAATTACATCATGCTTCCACATCTGGAAGATTAAAGTTTTGGATTTTAGTAATTATTTATGTTTTTCTGCTTGGCAATTATTACTTTAAAAAATTTTCATCGTTAAAGTGCAAAATCAATTCGTTCAGTAATTTGAACAGTTTTCAACGGAAAGAAATCTTTGAAAACTACAGTATTTATAATCAATTATTTGGATTTTATGCAAAATTTGGAAATTTATGCGCAGTACAAGTTTACTTGTAATGATATCATGAAAGTTAGCTTAAATTGTAGACAGCTAAAGAGAAGAGATGATTAAACTTTGCACACTATTATTATCAATCCTCAAATAGCCAAGGGAAATAAGTTATGCTTGTGTCATGTCGCTACCGTACCCTTTGTAAAGCAAAATTAGGAATTATTACCACTTGAGACATAGAATTGTTTACTGTGACAGACAGCACAACATCTGACGGAGCCTTCGATTAGTTTCAATTTTGATTGATTATTAATTGATGTGTTTGTGAGCAGCATTTGATATTTATATTTTTGCAATGAAAAAGCACTCATTCCAAATTTGATTTACTTCATGGTAAATGTCATATAAAAGTTTAACTGAAGAAAACAAAAAGTAATAACGAACTAACACTGTCATTTTGAACTTAATTATTTGAAATGAATCTGCTGGACAGTTGAGTGGACAGACAGTCTATTCAGCTGAGCAATGAATTTGAGTGATCCATGTGATTAGCTCACATAAACACAGATATATTTTGCCTTACTAAAATTTGTTGCAAAGGTATTGTGCTGATTTCATACGGAATACAAATAAATAAAACCCCAAATGATAAAGATTGATTTTTTTAAATTTTGTAGCAGAATGCACAATAAAATGATAAAGTAATTTGAAGTGATTCTAGCAAAACGTGATTTGGAATATGGCAGCTCGATTGCTTACATTTTCAACAACTATGGGATATTGACAACGATTTTTTTATTGACATGTTTAGAAGAATTGAACTGTTATTGTCATATATGCAATTTGAATCTGCCAACTTTAAAAGAAAACAAACAACGAAACCTCGCCAATCGTAGAGTTTCAATTTTTGATAATTTTTGATGCTGCGTAGTGATAGGGACACGTTGCCGAAGTTTATCCAAGGCCTGATTAAGGCCGTGCATTCGATTCCGTTCTCGAGTGTTTGCTTTCTGACGTCGCGTTCGAGACTTACTCATTGCCAACGTAGAACTGTCGCATACTGATCCAACACTTGATGAATTCGCCATCATTCTGCAACAAAGAACACTCAAGTAATAATTATGAATATGTTGTTGTTAAAGGATAATATGACTGAAATCATTAACAATGGCTATTGCCAGTTTATACCATCTGATATGTACTCATTATTAATGAATAAATGAGATAAGGTGAGCAATGATTTTTACTTTATCACAAAAAATTTATTAAGTTCAAAAATGTTTCATTTTCAGTGAATTAGATTTTTTGTTCATGGTCCAGGAATCAAGTTATTCTCAATTCCTTTGAAAGTGAAAGAAGAGAGATGAAAGTATAATGTAGAAAAGAAAATGAGTTCACGTTTAAGTAACCTTTTCATGCATAAAGTTAAACGTCAAGTACGATCGTAGAGGTTGTCTACGTTATTATGAATCTAGTGCTATTTTTCACGTTTAAGAAGTAAATAATCGGTGAGCGCAGCAAATGATGGATTGCCCTACCTTATTTATGTGCTAAGTGACGTCGAAGACTTGTTGGGTCACGTTAATAATAAACCATCAGGTCAGTAGATGGGTTCTTCTCTTTAACTAAAATATTTGCAAAATCGCATTGGAAAGCGGAATTGGTCAATACTTTACTAAGGTCCGCCCATCCTGAGAACAATTATAACCTTTCACTATATGCGTTAATTGACCTACCGTTTCTTGTCTGTTGAAAGAATTTAATAAATTTTATCATTTTTTAGATTAAATTCTAATTACAAATGAATTCCGCTATCATCATTTGGAATCGAACCATTTAACTTAATGCAAGGTTGAATTAAAATCAAACAACAATTACTAAAAGTTCTCGTCATAATTGTTTGCTCAAAACTATATCTTCAAGCATAATTACAAAAAATAGCTTATTTTAATGACCTGAAAATAGAAAATCTACAAAAATTCTATCAGCATGTAAAAATTAGTTCATTTTCTTCAATATCAATATCAGTGGGACAATTGAGCTCCTTGTCAAGCAATGGAAGATTAATGTCATGCAGGTTGACTCGAGAATGTCCACTCTGAAAAATCTGTCCACAGCCTTCATGTGTTTTTGCTAATTAACTATTCACTCTTGAATTTATTCTTAAAATTTGTGTTCCAGTGTGCATAACATATGTGCACATTATAGGCACTTGATGATAATTATTGAAGAATAAGTTGCAGTGCGATCCCATCAAGCTTTTGATAAGAAGCCATTAATTAATTAATTATTCAAGTATTAGCATTGACTGTGAACCGTTTTCTGCAACTCAGATCCTATCTTAAATTTACTTCAAAGCTGACAACCACTAGTCTGTAATTTGTCTGTAACAAATTGAATTTTATTTGTTTATTGGATTTCTTCCAATTTTAAATTTTTTAGTAACACAAAGTCTTTTACAGCTTTGCACACTTCAGAAATGAATCACTAAACAAGTACTGAATACTGCTTCAGCAATTTGATCTCAGAAAAGGCAAGCAAAGCACTGTCTACTCAAACAAGACATTTTCGTTGTAGTTCTTAAGATGATAATTAATAACAAAACTGCTCTAAAACCCTCCAATTACAGCTAACTTCGTGTCCCTAATCCGATTAATTGCTTTCATCATTGCATTTTAGCTGAAGTAAACAAAATGAATCAGACTTCATCAAAATGTGAGTACGAAAGTTGTTGATCGTACTCAATTGTAATCAATATTTAAATTTTGCTTGTCAAATGTGAAAAGGAAAGTTGTTAGATATTTAAGCTGAAGCGGAGCGAAAATTGATTTCGATACCATTTTTGTTGATGCATAAATCCATGAATAGGATTATGATCTTATTTTATTTTAGCGGATTCCTTTTCGCCTAGTTCCTTTATCCTTTGACCTTCTCTCTGCAAAATATATTTCACTTTGTATCTGTTTAATTTTTTTGTGCTGCTAGAGGAAGCTCGAAGCAAGCATGTGCGCAGAAATGGTATGCATCAGCATCGCGAGTGAGCAAGCACAAAAAAGCAACACTTTGAAAGCACAACATGTGAATACAGTCTAGTAAACGTCCTTCTTAAATTATTCAAGTTTATTAACTATAAACCACTTGCATCCAAATGATCTCTTGGCTCATTTTCATCTCTATATTAGAATTCGAAGTATTTAAGTACAGGCCATTTATTATTGGTCCAGATAGCGCAGTGAGCTTTAATTCGATCTTCTTGCAAATGATTTGTTTGCAAACTTACGAGCTTCATTGCGTGTAATATGAGCTGAATATCTAAATCAGTCCCAAGCATGTGTCACAATACTCGAATATTCATACAGTGAGGAACGAGTACGATTTGATCACAATTCATTCTTAGCCCTATTTAAATATGAATACTTTGGAAGACCAGTCGTTTACTTATATGATTGCTATTCATAAATCTCTTCGGCACTTTTTTATCGTTTTGCAGCTTTTAATTCATTTATTGACTTTTGCCTTTATCTTCCCATACACGCCATCATTAGAATAGCTTTCTTTGTGGGCTTGTATTGTTTTTTTTCTTGCGGTAAATTTATTTTCATTTCTAATTACCGGCACAAATCACACTGTTGCTTCTTGCTTGAAGTAGTTTGTTCTTCCACTTAATATATGACTTTTGACCTCAGTGACATCAAGTTTAAAATAAGAAAATTAAAGATATGTATAACTTAAATTGTAAGTGAGTACAGTGATATGTCATAAAACTACTTGTGATAAGCTGTAAAAGTTACGAAAAAATGTGACTGATAATTTTTTACTCGTGAAACAAGCAATTATTATCTTCAACTACATAATTTTGCAATTCGCTGAAATTACTGAAAAGTAATCATTTGAAACTGCAATTTCAGGTAAAAATATTTTCAAAACTAAGAATAGATAGATTATTTATTGCTAAGATTGAAATAAATTTTAAATTTCAACTGAAGCTGCAGTCACGCAAAGAACTGTATGTAACTTAATGTTCAGCTTATATTTCTGCAAATTTGATCAGTAATTTTAAAAACTCCTGATCAATTAATACAAATTAAACACCGATTTTTTGCAGTATTCTGTGAACATAATGACACATTTCCCTCACCTGTGCATGATCAAATTTGATTATCGATTCCTAAGCTCAACAAAAAGCAAAAATGGACAAGTGAAAAAACAGTTCATGCTATTCCGCTTCAGTTCAACTCAATCAATTTTCGGGTTTTTTGATCTCAGACTCAATAAATTTTGATCCATTCGCTTCAATCAAATACCAAACGGTGGCATTCAGTCTGAAGTAATTAATGCAAAATCTTTTTAGACTGAATCTTTTTAGCTTAACCGCAAAGTGAGTTTTCTACTGATGGACTGAATGGCACATTAGATAAAAGTGAAAGAGCTACCTCAAAACAATAGTGACAAAATCAGTTTGATTAAATGAGTGATCAATTTGAAAAGTGGTCATTGATATGAATAATTATTTCCAGGCAAACTGCCACTTTATGAATGAATTCATTCAGCTCATGACTATATTTTATAATTTAAAGTGAATATAAGGGAGCTAAATTAATTTCAACTCGAAAGTGCTGTTTTAGTCTGAGTGTACTTCCGAAAGTTGCCAGACGTCACTGGAAGAGACAAGTAAAATTTCTTGACCGCAATTCGTGATGAACTGATTGCCTTACAATTTATGAAGTTAATTCGCAACAAGTTGTTCAGTTACTAGCTTCATTTCTAAGAATTGGACATTAATAATAGTACTTAAATAATTGCTCTAAAGTTCACCGCAATAAAAAGCATTTAATCAATTGTATCAATTGAGGTGCCTGGAATAATCAAACCTTACAATTTTCCTCTGTTAATTTTCCTTCAACCATTCAGATAACTATTTATTACTGTAATTTTATGCTAATTAAATCTATGAAAAGCTTCCAATTCATTTGTGTGCTTAGCAGTTGTAAATAGTGTGAAGTCACTTCAAAATACTCTATTGCTACTTGAAGCAAGTTTTAGTGAGCTGAGATTGATGATTTGCTGTGGTACTATTTGTTCTTAAAAACCACTTAACCGCTTAGTAATATTCATTATGCGTACTGAAAACTACTGTTTCGTTTTTTGTCCTCCTATTACTAATACTATTATTATTATGTCGTGATAAGTTAATAATCATCCATTAAAATAATAATTATTATAATTATAATCATAATCACAGTTCACTATCATCGTTATTATTAACTATTTATTATAAATATTAATTATTATTATTAAATTATCGTTATACTATCGATCAATGCCATGCATGTAAAGCGTGATAGTCCATGATTACCAAGCAGTTGTGATCAAGAGCTATTTATTTCTAACACGAGTAGTATTAGGACTATTTCCTTGTACCATAACAATTGTTTACATCCGGCAATTAATATTCTGTTGGGGATCTGCCTTCATTTTCCTCATCTATTTGCTCTATTCGAAACTATTTATCAGCAAGATTTGCAAAAAGTGTTAATTACACCAATTTAATCACGCAAAACAAGCAAACTGGCACTCGCTACATTCTACTCATAAATGACTGCATTTATAAATATCTTGCTTAGATAAATTTACTTGTACATACGTATAGAATGCCGAAAACCAGAATTCCATCCTTCTCTCTTCACAAATTGTTTTTCATTCAAAGACAAGTCAGAGTACTCATATTAAAAAGTATAGTCAAAAAAATTCGCAATGGAAAGCACAACATAATTCCAGTGAACCATATTTACATGGGTTTCGTTTTTGCCAGTTTTATTGCGAACCCACACCAGTCTCTGTTCACTAGCACAATCTTATAATCTAATACTATATCCTATATCCTGTTTTTTGTCAATATTTACAGTTATTACGTATCTGTCATTATCACAATATTACTATAAACACTAACACTACTACTCTTAACCAGCTATTCTTCTTACAAAAGCCACTTGTGACGAACTTATAGAAATTTATCCCCAAAAAAATGTTCCCACCAAAACCTCTGTACAGATACAGTCACTGAATTTTACTGTTATGAGGAACAAAGACAATGATTATTCTTTCAGTAGTGGAAAGTAAAAGTTAAGCTCCTTATTATTAAAATGTGTTATCTGGAGCGTGTATATCAAATTGTTCAACTCTCCTGCTGCTGTCAATCAAGTACGACTTGATGGCAATAACGAAATTTGGAAGTTCGTAAACGACAGGATTTGCAAGCTGTAATGTAATAAGGGCAAAAACTTTATTCCAAAAAACAAAAAAATTTGACTCCATTCAAATAAAGAAAAAAAATGAAACGAGAGTAGTATAAGCTGCGATGCAATCACATCAAGTATATAATATATCATTACTTATTTTTGCATATCTGAATAATACGGCAGTAGCGGTGTGTTTATTTAATCAGGTGGTAATATCACAGCGGGGGCGAGTATCAGCCTTACGGTTGCAAGGAAGCGGTTCCGTTTCAGGTCACTTCCTTAAGCACGCTTTGATTTACACCAATTCATCACAAACAAGATTAATTAATCACTTGAATCTCATCTCACTCGATTCTTTCACTCGACTTCATTTGCATATTGACCGACCATTGTCTTTTGTACGATTCATTAATTGCAATTCAATAAGATTTACTTTATACCTCATTATTATAAATAGCATCTTTGAAGAAATTAGTAGCCCTCTGAATATATCATTTAATCCTACCCACTCAATTCAAAGCATTATATATGTAATTTACGGACCTTGCAATCATCTATTCCAATATGTGAGTGACTCAAATCAAGCAACCTAAACTCATTACCGACATTCATCGTTATATTCTCGTCAAAACTGTATCCAAATTTTTAAAAATACCGTCTACACTTGAGACAAATAAAACTGATCTACTTTAGACTATTATTAATATTAACTGTACAGTTGATACCGAATATACCAAGGTTAATTCTTGCATATTTGTGAAAAAAACTCGAAAAGATAAGAACTCAATTAATGGACTGCAGAATAAGTCACCGCATACATACAGTTACTTCTTTCAAAATGACTCTCAAGACTTGTTTTGAGCCATTTTTCAAAAGACTTATAATGTTATGCAAGAATCTGGCAGCAGCAAATGTCTACAACTTTCGCTCAACAATCGAGCTGATATAAAAATGCGAAAAAATTTTGTTTCCAGCTATTATTGAACGAAATTTCACGGCGCTCTACCATTCTATAAAAGATCACGTAAAAATTGATTCCCTTGACCACAATACTCAACTATAAACACTTTCACTGATAACACACATAAACCATTTGTACATGAATAATAATAACTATTGCTCAACCAGCTTTGAAATCAGTCTATGAATAGATACAAAACAGGCTATACGACAACAAAGAATATAAGAAATGATTTTTTGATGCACACTGCTGATTACGCAATTCGTAAGACGTTGTTGTATAGCAAACTTTCCCCAGATAAATTTCTTGTACAACAGATTCAATGATTTGCTTGTGACGCAATTGGGATGATAATAATAATAATGATAATCAGAATAATAATGAGAATACCATGCACGAAATCATTTGTTATTCACAAAAAAATAATTAGATGAGAAAAAACTACCTTGCATTACTCAACTTTCTCTTATTGCATAATCATCACTACTGAAATTAAGTAAGCAAACGGCGACTCTGAGGTACCATAAGACTTCAGGACATTGAAATTATGTCTTGTAATAGGATATACCAGAATTATGTGAACAATTAAGCAGTAGATTAGTCACTTTTTCCACGAACTTAATAGGCTGCTATCTAAAAGATCAGGTTTTTTATGAATTTTATATATTAAATGACAATAAAAGAATGCTCAACAATTTCTCCGATTTCTAAAACCAATAAAATTCAAAATCATCTGAAATTAACCTGTCTTCGAACGACGATAAAAGTCTTGGATTTCCAGAATCAGGAGAAAATTGTTGGACAGTTTTAAATGATTTGTTTTGGACAAGTAACAAATTCTCTAGAACAGTTCTGGAATCGAAATTGTACCAATAACTATTATATAAGAGTGGGTTTATCAAAACAAAGGAATATAAAATTGTTTATAACAAATTCAAATTAGTTGCAACGAGATTTTTACAACATATATCAGGAACACAATATAAGTTATAATGATTTAATACCATCAATCTTACAACGAAGAATTATACTGGTATACATTTAGTATCACATCATTTGCATGAATATAAAATGAGGAAGCCTTAATCAGTTCATTATATTTTTAAATCTTTAACTTCTGAAATTAGTTATATCCATTTATCGGTTAATTTAGTGATAATCCATTTAACAAAACCTAATAAAAACTAAAATACTTGCAGCTCAAACCCCACAAAACCTTTTTTTTTCTACCAAAACACGACATCTTCATTTCAGTATTTCTGCTACTGAAAAATTAAAAATTATGCACAAGTAACGCCTCATATACGTGCTTAATTTTAAAATTGGAAAGAGTGGAAACAATAAAATCTAATCAATAAGTAAAATTTTGATCAGAACTAACAGATCTTCATATAATTTTCATTAATATAGTATCTTAAATGACAATAAAAGAATGCTCAACAATTTCTAAATCTGCATATCTTAAAGAAGAGCTTTCAGATCCATAGGTGATGAAAAGTGAAATCTAATCATGCCCCTGATCAAATAATCTGATACATTTATTTAAATATTCCTAAACAATTTTGCCAAGCACAATTCTTAACTTGCTTGATACTTGTGCGAACTTTTCAATAATTGATGGCAATTCTTTGGAGTGCAGTTGCATAGGAAGCAATTTTAATATAGTAATTCATTACTTCACTTTTTCTTGCAATTGCTTGTTCATTTGCTGCTGTATTTGCTGTAACTGCTTTTCATCTTGCTGTGACATTGCAGTCAACCTTTTCCCAAGCTTTTCATGTATATCTAAATATTTCGCGACACAACGATCCAAACACACTGCTTCAGCTTTTGTTAACTCCCCTTCTCTGAACCATAACAAAAATTAGAAACTGAATAAAACTTTAAATTACTACCCATTTCAGCCAGAACAAAAACTTCGCGTCACTATCGCAACAAAGTGAACAAAAATACTGCATTACTTCATGGAAAGTTCTTCTTTGAAGTTAAATCTAATTACACCAAGTTCGCTTCCTAAAAAATAATAATGCCGCCATTACTAACTTACAGAAATTTATTTCATGAATTTCATACCTATAGCGAGTTGAAATGCATTTTTGCTGACATGCTGAACTCATTCTTTTATACATATCTGTCATCATCTCCATCTCTAAATCAGCTACTACTTGAAGCTCCGCTTGTGACATTCTCAAAAAGTACTAAAAATAAATTTTTCTGTAAGACTCAAAAAAACAACCATATCTTGTAAGACTGAATCAGTCACAAATTACATCAGTAGACAACTACAAATCCACATATTTGAAACGTTTCAAAAGATAAAACTTAAAATTAATTTTAGCTTCAAATTTTATAAAATAAATAGATTCAAATATGATACCTTCGAACGAAATCAAGTACAGAACGATTACAGAAAAGAGGCTCTTTAAATAATTTACCCGTACACAAATAAACAAATGAAAATGGCACAAAACTAGACATAATTAACATAAAACGCCAAATACGATAAAATTTCGCTCATTTTACATAAATAAAAAAATACTGTAAAAGCTAAGGCATCGGATAAATCCATAACTATGATAAACAATCAAAACAAGTATAGAGAGAAACATAAGTGTCATTAGAAAAACGCACAGGTACTGCTTTTGGTCCATAAAAACTAATTCGATAAGCAGAACCATCAGCGGGACCTAATAACTGCAAAGCAATCAATATAATATCCACAATATATAAAAGTGTGAAACAACCAAACGAAAACAACTTCAGACATCCTGAAAAAACCTTCGTTAAGGTATTCCAAGACTGAAAAAGAAACAGTCTCACAGCACTTGAATAATTTTCCAAGGAAATTTGAAATTCAAATCGAACTTCTGGAAACATTTAAAATTACCTAAATTGTAAATATTCAAAGAAAATATTTGCACCAGAAAACTTCGAACTTATCCATTACCAATTAGACATTTATGGGAAATTATACTTACTGAATCGAAACTACTTAGGTTTTGGACTAACATGGAGTTGCAAAAATTATTTGAAATAATCAAATTATTGTCTCTTGCCCTTGCTCTGTTACCATTTTTATCTGTTTTAAAATGTAAATCAATACTATCAAGGAGGGAAGGTAAAAATTTCCTAACCTACAGCATAATATCCAAGATAAAACCGATCAATACCAAGCCATCCAAAAAACACAGAAAACAGAAGAGTTGTGCCAAAATCGATGCCTGCTGAATAAGCACATCCATTTGGTACACGCTTCAGAAATCTACAATTGCGAGAGTGAAAAACAGGCCCTAAACATAACTTACAATCCCAAAATGGGATTTAAGCATGAAAAAAACAAAAAATTCACTTTCTTGTGCTGTTATTCAGTCCTATGCAGTCGATTTCATTTGCCACTTTACAAATTACTGAAAAAAACAGTTTTAAAGTAAGATATGTAAGCAATTCAATAATAATTTTGATGAGATAATGAACTGATATCGAACTTTTTAGGTAAAGAAATGACTCGAAATACTAGCAAACGCTTAAAACAGTCCAATACAGTGAGAAGAGAGTTTTGAAGTTACAAAGAATATACTTTACTTTCAAAGGAATGAAATTAAATAATATAGAAGTTAAGAATTGGACTTTTCACCTGTAATTGAATTATCTTTTTCGCATGATACAGGAAGTTGAGTGATAGATGAAATTACAGGATTCTCACACCAAAATCTGAAAGTATGACAGTATCAAAGTCAAAGAACTGCGGAATTCAATAAATATAGTGCCTGATCACTTTAATGCGGAAAAAACGGTTCCACTTGACATCAATCTCAACACAAATTTTGACAAACTCTATGTCTATTCGATCTTTTAGACAGGAACAAGAAAGATAACAAGGATATAGTGATAAATCCATTTAAAATAAAACTAAGTCATATAGTCACTGAAGTTAAAGAAACAAGTCAGATCACGTAAGAGTAGATTATATCACACTTACTGTCCCATCAATAATTCAGAACAAGGTTTCAGAATCCTTTTGGTTATTCCAAATTTCGGCACTAAGAAAAATGCAAGAATTAAGGTAACTGCTTCATATGATAGCATCTTGTCATTTTTCCAAACTGGAACTTCCAAGAAACAACCATTTAATGAAGTCTGAAGCATTTTACCACTATTATATCAGAGTAACAAAGTGACGTTGGGAAGTTTTTTGAAATATTATATCAGTTTGCGAGTAAAATTTGCCCAGTTTTAGTGATAATTTGGCAAAAAACTGCTGTTTTAAATTTGCATACTTATTCAGTCATTTAAAAGTAGAAGTGACTCATGCACAAGAACAGGAAGTAGAACCACCACACACCAGCAACTGCTGTACATCACACACATATAAAATCGAATGCAATTAGTACACAACTACGGTCTTAAATGAAAGTGGAACGTTATGCAACTCTGAATCACTACAAAAAGTGTTATGATTGGATGTTAATGAAAACAAGAATCTTTGCTTTATCGGATATACGACTGCTTTGGAGCATCCGCTTTTTTATTGTCAAAACTGTCCAAGCAGATTTTTTCGCAGCTTGTGGAGCTCATTTTAATATTTATTTAATCTTCTAAGTAAACTCTAGGCTAGAAGATTAAATAACAAAATGAAGTAGCGTTTGAATTATTTCGTATTTGATTTAGCCTTGAATGCAACTGTATTTGTGACTTGTATCCATATCCATTTTCAGTCATTGGTGGTGAACCAAAATCTTTATCTATTTTGTAAGGCTATGTAAAAATATATTGCATGTGTTGTTCTCAAGACAATGCAGTCGTTCATCGTTTCACTTGTCCATCACACCTGCTGGAATTATCTCAGTTGGAAGGGAGTTTGATCCTGTAAAACAACTCATGGTTCTGTTCTTGTGGTACTACAATCTAAAAACATGTAAACGTTAGATGAATTGTTAATTGCTGACTTACATTGGTATATTGGATCATACTGCGGATGAAATTGAATGTCAAAATTGTAAATTTTGTCTAGACTTTTCAGCATGAATGCAAAAGTGTGTCAGGTATGTTACCTGGGTTCGGGCTCTTCGCGGCATATGAACGATTCTGTTTTTCGAGTTCAGCAAGTTTATTAGAATCCAGTTTTTGAATGTCCAACTTCGGTTTCAGTGTAACGAATGAAATTTTGAGATCTTTGGTAATACACATCACTGAACCGCAGTTACCGTCTGTTCCGCAATAATTTGGTGCAGAAAATACAGTACAGATATGTTCGTCACAATCAAGAAGGTGGCCAGTTTTAACGACTTCGTGTGCTCGCACGATCATATCTACACCTAATACCTACGAAAGAATCATATTAATGCTTTTAACAGAGAGAGAGCTGGGTAATTTATAAGCTGTTTTTAGTATATAAGTGAATATGTATGAAATGTAAGAGCTTCAGTTAAGCCAAATGATAGAAATTTCACTTGGCATTTGCTCAAATAATTACTCATGGAAATTCAGTTTAGATAGAACTCTGTTATAAAAACAAGCAAAAATTGGTGTCAGAAAATTGTTTTTATAAACGTCAAAATAAAGAATTAAAGTAAGAATGAGTTACTCTCGTGCACTCTTTAATCGTATCTTGACCAAACATCCAAGAAGCATTTCGAACTTTGTTTGGTACAAATCCTTTGGAGCAAGGGTCGTTATCTGGATCCGCCCACATTAGATCAAGAGCTAGACCATATTCGCAGTCAGATTGATTTCTTGGCTTCTAAAAAAAATCTTGTTCAGTTCATTTTATACGTTTAATAGATAAAAGGCAGGGTTTCCTTCCATTTTCTTCTTAACATAACTTCTGAATTGTTTTTGTGCTGAGTTTCCAGCTAATAAATTAAGGATATTTATTTTTCAGTTATTAAATCTTGAATAATTGGAAACAAGACTTTAAGGTTTTCTAACGAATGCCATCCTTGGATTAAAGGACTTATACCACCATGCATACCAATTAGTTTGTCACTGATCTAAAATTTGGGTGTCTGAGGCAATCTGTAGTCAAAATTCTCTTTTGAAATTAATAAGAAAAAGTCTTAGATTAAATGCTGAACAGCTCGTAGAAATTTCGCTGTTGTCGATAAACAAATTGGTCAAACAAATCTCCTTCAAGTTCATTGATGAATACAGTCACATGTAATTAAAATTTTCAGTTCCAGTTGATTGCAGTTAGCAGTATTGCTTTATGATATAAAAGTTTGAAGGATTCGATGAAATAATGTAATGGAAACGAGTACTAATCAAACAAAAGTTGAGGGGTCATAGTACGTTGGTTAAAGAATGATGAAACGTAAAACGATATCGAAAGTACAGACATTTGCACATAATGGAAGTTCATTGAAAGCATTTTGGAATGCTTTCCAGATAGAAGTCGTCCTCAGGCGTTTACATTCCTGGTAGAAACCGTACGTACGATTCATTTTGGTGCATTCATGATTTCCTCGTAAGAGGTTTATTTTGTCTGGATACCTTATTTTGAAACAAAACAGTAGCATCATCACCTGAACACATGACTTTCATCACTTGTAATTTTTTCTTCTGTTGCTTTTTGTTTTTCATCTGCAGATGCAAATGAATTCGTTGAAAAAATTGATAAGCGTTCGAATTGCTTGCCTATTTAAAATTTCACTTAGTATATTACTGTTGGAGTCTTATTGATAGCATATTTTGGCACTCCAGTTTGAAATGAATATAATGAACGGACATTGTCAATGCCGAATTAAGGTTAATATGTTCTGGCCAATTTTTTGAATACAAATTTTAAAAGCGAATTTAAAGAAAACCGTGTTTATGTAAAACCTCAAGTCCTTTCTTGCATCGATCTACATAATCGCCTAAAAACAAAAAGTTCTGTTGCGGCGGTGTTCCAAGAATGTTCAAATATCGCATTAAATCGCCAAACTGTCCGTGAATATCACCGAATATAACCACGGGAGCATTGACTTTTATTAGACATCCAGTTGGCCGTAGAATATTATAAACCTCAAAACAAAAAAAATCTTCAAATTGATATCTATATTAGTTTTGCGCATCATAATACAATTAATTTAATGACGGAAAAAATCGAAATGCAAATACTCCTGAAACTGGTAGTTTGCGAAGTACTTCAGTGCTTCACCTGATGTATACTCAGTTGAGACATTTCAGAGTACTTCCGACAATTTTTCATTGTTTCTAATAAAGCAAATATTTTTGGAGTAGATGTAATTTGCCAGATTGGTCTGAAATCATGTAATAATTTTGCTACACTTCTGTGAAATATTTACTTCATCGATAACTGCAATCAGTTGGGAATCAGAAAAGCCATCCAGAAATTGATCAGTCATGAGTCGATGAATCATTCGATCGACTAATATCATCAGTTGCTTACCCTAAATGTAATCAGTGTGCTTTATTTTTGTCACCTAATCAGTACTGGTAATAATCCAATACTATAACTTTTGCTTGTTTACTTCATTGTATGCATTTGCTTGCTGGTAAAAAGTTCAGATTAGATCAAATAAAATTAATTGGTATGAAACATAGCTGCGCTTCGCCAAATGTTCAAAATGATTAAAATATAAAAATGTGGTAAGAATATGATTCTATCTAACAAAATTATTTTGGAATACGACTCATTTTTGTGGTTTTTTAATACTAATTTTGAAGACACTTTCAAGTTCGTCTAGCATTCTTTTTATCTTATCTATCCATACAAGTGCATCCATTCATTCACAAGTTTGCAGTAAGATTTGAAACTAAATTCAGTTTACTTATTTCTATATCATTCTCAGTTGTGATTACCAGTATGACGTAATTTTATTCTTTTTTGATTTCTGTGAACTTTTATCATGATTAATTCAACTTTAATTTAGCCTTACTTAATGAGAGAATATTCTCGCTTCAAATGAATTTTAATTTTGGGCACCTATCTCCAGTCCACCTTTGCTTACCTTGATTTCTCGATATTTGAAATGCGTCCTTCGGTTCATTGTCGAAATCAGATATTATTTTTGTGTAACAAAGTGGGGAAAGCGACCTCTTTAAATATAGAAAACGTGCAATGAATAGCATTTAGTTTGCAAATTATCATTTTATGAAACATTATTTTTGAATGAATTTGAATCATAACTTTACCATTTTAATTCCAACGATATTCAGCAATCACGCTAACTTTATTCTCTAGCAATCATGATTTTACTTTTGAGCAAGTCTTTTTGTCTCAATTTTATCTGAAGATCTTTCAAAGTCTTGACCATTTTGCTAAGAAAAGATTAGTTTATTTGATTTTGGTTGAATAGATTAAATTTTTCTGTTCTAAAAGCATTACTTTCACGCTTTTTGTTCACTTTTCTACGTTTCAGTGCATTTTTTCCAGTTGCGTGAATGATTTTTCATTTCGTTTTTGTAATTTTTCTCTGTTCAATTTTCATATGATTTTATTGAAATTGGCATCAGTATACAGAATCAAATGCAGGTCCATTTTAACTTAATTTTATTCGAAAAACTTTTCGTGACAGTAACCATTCTGAAAAAGGAACAAAGCCTAAAAGTCCAAAAAAATTGACGAATGCCTGCTTTTAATCAGAAATTATCTAATAAGCAAGAATTGACTTGCATTGACAGCATTTTTTAGGACTTCCAAACTAATTCTCGGTTATTTGCTTCAAAGTGCTGCATACTTTAATTAGCAAAAACAATAATAAAAATTCAAGCAATATTATTTGCAAGAGATAGCTTAAACTGTAATGCTTTATGATTAATTCTTTTGCAAAAGCAACACACTGCGATGGAAAACAAAATTAGGAAGTCGGAAACGCATGTTGAACATTATTATTACAAATTTCGCTGAACCGAGAACAATTATGAATATACTGCCTTTTCCTTTCAAGAAACAAAAATTCATCGAGCTTGATGCCTGTACGTGGCATCATAAGCTCGGATATCACGTTGATCAGTGTAATATGGCTGATCTCGTCTCATCTGCGGTGAATAAGCATAATTTGATGGCAACGTTGGATAAACAGTTCGTGAATCGTACTGAAACAATTACGAAATGGAATATTATCACAGAAGTATGGTGTAAAAGGAAAACGAATACCACAGCAATAATTGGAAAAATAATGAACTGTATAGATTGCTACTGACTAAAGTAACATCGGCATTGACTGAGTACGCTTAATGCCTAATAATCACAATAAATGTCAAGTAAAGTTTGGTTTCCATATAAGACTTCAATGATGCTTTGAAATGATGTCGCGAAATGTGCTTCTGACATAACGGTATTAGTAATCAAAGGCGCAGAGCTGCCATTTAAGCTCAGCCAAATTCAAAAGTAAACTAAAAGGTATAAATGGAATGAAATATCAATCATTTCAGTTTACTCAAACTTAGGCTTAGGCTTCAAGTAACACTAACTTATTTCTTTGTCTTTTGTTCACAGTGAAAGAAAAGGAAATTATAATTCAGATTCCGCTCAGTAGTATGAAAATATCTCACGCATACTACAGTGTAATTGACAGATTTATGATTAATTCACGTTTATATATTTTTTTAGAGTAAATATGCGACAAGTCTATTAACCTTCATTTTATCACCAAATATTGCACGAGATTATCAATGATATTAATAGTAAGCATAAATCAGAAAGGTATTAAATATTATAAGTGACTAGACTGAGTTCCACAATAACTTTGTCCAGTCATTTTACAGGTTTTGCATGCTTGAATACTATCAATAGTCCGCGAAAATTCATTCATGAATACTTAAAAATATCAACAACTTACGAATAATCATTTATAAATGTAATTAGCTCAAACCGTTAAGTTAAGCGCAAATACGTAACTTCAGAAATTACTCAACAAGTGAGAACGAATAATTCCGACTGGAAATGTATGTTTAGCTAAGGAAATAAATATATGAAGCATTTTGATAATCACTAATTAATTAGAAATTAATTTACCTGTTTATCGGTATCAATGACATTACCAGTCTTGCGATTGTGCATACGTTGAAATTTTGCTATCATTATCATTACTAGAGATATCTGAAAGATTTGCAAATATCTCGTAAGCAGTAATATTGTTTGGTTTGTAAATTTTGACTGACTTTTACTGAAATTAATGACTACAATCGTTGATTGTTCAAATTTATGATTGGATTTTTTTTTGAGCTTAGCAATGATTTAATTTTAAAACAAAAATTTTTATGCATTTGAATAATAAAAAAGCGAAGAAAATATAAGAGACAATAAGCAAAGTAACAATCTCTGAAGCTTATTATTCAGCATTTTAAATTTAAATTTATAAGTGATGAGTAAGTACATGTATTAATTTTCGACTTATATTCTATTCATAATTATTGAAAGCGCAGATGAATATCCAAATTGATGTACTTCATGAATATACTCAGGAGAATGCATACTAATATTTTTATCATCGATCTGTCACTGAATTTACATCAAATTTGTTTTGAGTTTGATTTAAATGCAGTATTCAATTTCAAGTATTGATCTAGATTGACCACTTTTGTGTTGAATTTCATCCACTGAATTACAGTACAAAACCGTCTCCAGTGAATATATTGGAATGAAATTAAACGCAATTTTTGAAGTATCGCTTACTATTGCTTATATATGTGAGTAAAAAATCATTATTTCACTGCTGTACAGCAAAGCTTTTTTTGCGATTGATAGCATTAAATTAGTCTTATTTATTAATTAAAATTTAGTCTCAACAAATCAAAAGTTACTCACGTGGAAAAACTGCATTCCAAGGAAAAAAATTCCACTGGCAATACGTACCAAATTCCACTGCAAAAATATGCAAATCAAATAAACCAAAATTTGGAAGTAAATAATTACTAAAACTCAGCGTTTTCTCAAAATTATCTAAATTATGCATTATTTTGAGACAATTGAACTGATAAGAAGCTAAATCGCTTCCCACACTCGAAACTAAACAATCTGGAAAACTTTCTTAGCTCAATTAATCACTAAAAATTTTATTCTAAATTTTTTTACATTACCAATGGAATTGAAAAATTTAGCATGAAATTTTTTAGTTTTATTAGTAATTCCATATTCTGCACATCCAACGTTTTCAATCTCAACTTGAACTATTAATTTTGTCAAAATAAATCAATAACTTATTGTTGTACACACTTTCAACACTATAGTTCAAATTTTCACTTTCAATTCTGTTTAAAAACATTGCTTCAGATTAGGATGTCATAAATCTATAAATAAAATAAGAACGCTAAAATTTCCATATTGTCATAGACTTTTTCAGTTTTAGTGATATTTGCGGAAGAGAACATACATGAGCAAAAGACAGTATGAAAAAAACAGTAATTAGTCCTCTGATTACATCCAAAATCATCAAAAATATCCAAGGTAGTAACAACCATTCCACATAAGTTGATAATCCAATCAATAATAGCATACTTGCAATGATAAGTAATACATATACAATGATATCAGTGATGAGCCTGAACTTCCTCCCTAAACAAACAATTTGGTATTATTCTCACTTTCCGATATTTGAAAAGAATCAAAAGTATGCTCAAACTTTGCAATCAAAAGGTTAATTAGCACCGCTGGCATGCAGATCCTGTCAACATCTATTTCTTGAATAGCTAACCGGCTAACGCTCAATTGTTCAATTTTTTCTGCAAACAGTGGAATTAAAGTAACTAACAAATATGAGAAAAAATTAGTTCTTCCGTGTAAAGACCGAATGAACAGTGATATGAGCTGGAATCTTCGACAACAACAGTTGTCCGTCCTTCGTGAAAAGTTAACTTACGATTATCTGAAGTATTTTACAAAGTAAAATTTGATGAATCCATAGTTCATTGAATAAAAACACATGTTACTTCTTTTAAAAAGCATAAAATTTTATTTTTTCAATACTGCAAGATTATTACGCAAAAAAAATCGTTAGGGAAAAACTTTTTGAGTTCTTAATTTTTCGAGCAATCAAGATTTGATCAAAATTTTCAGCTGAGAATTTTTTCATACAGTTTTTCAAGTGTGATATTTTCAGTAATCATCAGCTGATAATTTTATCACTATAATATTCGAGCCATACCTTTAGGTAATTATAATGGTCATTCCTTTCACTACTAATTCAAAGTTGACATCTCGTTAACAATTTTCATTCACTCAATCATTGAACGTCAGTTTCTTATGTCTTACTCTAGCAAGCAGTTTATATTTTATTAATATTCAGATCACTTTTCTATAACTGATATATTTATTAGTTCTCACCTGGACGAATCTTACCCAAAGCTTCTAATTCACAATTAGTATAATGAGACGAATCGTCGTTAGCTGTCGTATCAGATAAACCCCAACTTGCCAGTCCCGTCAGAAGTGAATATATTAGCTGAAATTTTCACTTGTGAAGCTAAATTATTCTGTAGACTTTCAATATTTCAGAAAGCTTGAATTCTCTGAAATGTAAACAATCCTCCATAATTTTCCTTTAGTCATATCGAACGCCATTTCTGCAGATAGTAACTGCTGTATTGAAAACGTCCATGCATTATTGTCAATGTTATTAGTACTATCGTCGTTGCATATTTGTTTGGATATGAGTTGCCGGCCGATGCTATTCTTCTCTGTGTATGGAATTTCGCTTTCAGACTGGAGCGTTTATTTATTATATTTACTAAAACATTGTTTAATTTGATGGAATGGAAGTAAAAGTTTCAGTTATTGAAGTAAACTGATTGCTTAGCGAGCCAATAGACATAGCTAAGTTTCTCAAGCTGAATTTGAAGGTGCACTCAGTGTTCAAGGGCAGTTTGCGATAAATACTTTCCCAAAAATTACATGCTCAAGTTATTAAAATTCGAATTTAATACTAAAGTGGAAAATCAATAATTGGCAATTTGCAATTACTGTTTATATTGCCGACTTTCGAAAGGGATAACAGTTTGGTAGTACATTTGGGCTAGTGTTTGTTCAAACAGTTTTTATTTCCAGTATTTTCGCTCAATATGAGAGAGAGAATATATTTTGATTCTGAAATCATAACTTCCTGTCATAATGCTTTCATCGTTAGTGATTGCTATCAGTGATGAGAGAGAATAATATGAAAAGGTTGAGAATAAAAGGTCTGATTTCAGATTGAAAGCAAGGAACAAACCGGTCCCAATGATTGACCGACTCAAACTGGTCTAAGTGAAGAACCAAACTCTCATATTCATATTCTGTTTTCCAACTTCAAGACAGTTTAGCAGTGCCTTTAACCACGGATGAATGCATAAGTTTCCATATTTAGACACTTTTTCTCTTCCATTTGTTGACATTAATTATGATTACAACCGGGTTATAAACAAGGACACACACTTCCATCCCGCAGTAAGCAAAATATCATTCAATTATTTCGCTACGAATGGTCAAATATGCCACATTTTTCGACTAATACAAGCATTTTTGGCTTTTTCGCTAAATTTATTTCTAACTTTAGACTGACTGCCCGTTCATTTCCGTCAGTTAAGCTGAATCTTAACTCTGCTTGAGCTCATGAATATGCTAATTCAGCTGAGTGCAGCAATTCAGCAGTCATCTCAAATTTGAAAATTAATCCCAATGTGTGTATCAATTCAATAGATTCAGCAATATTTAGTTTAGTTTCATTCATTTTATTATTTAATGACATATTTGTCATGCCATCTTATACTTGTTTGCGTTATAAAATCAGTTTGATTGATCATATGCTGACATACAAGTGGTCAAAAAATTTTTTACCTGCGAAGATCATATAAATTTATCATGCTCGAGTGGACCAATTTGAACAAATTAAGTCTTTCGATTTAAAATAAACATAAAATAAAGTTTCGATAGAACTAAAGTACACAATAAATTTGTCGTGAATAAACGATTTCTTATTACTATTAATAATAATAACAATAATAATAATAATAATAATAATAATCTTCATTCCATTGTACTGGTGGATATAATTCTGAAGCACAGAAAAACGCATTACAAAGTTAACTTTGAAAATAAAAAGATTGATGTGTGTAAAATGTATGGTTGCGTTGGTTTTACGATTAATGGTAGTAAAGCAATCGCCAGAACCTTTAACTTATTCATTTCTCATGGCAAAATCTTTCGCTATTCATTGGTTGAGTTAAGGTCAAGGTTGAGCAATTATTTATGAAAGCAAAAGTTGAGAAGCAACACATTTAAAAGTTTTCTGGTGAATTTAAGGAAGAAATGTGCCAAATAATATTGAGTCTGATTCGACTAATTTAAATTAACAATAAAGAATTTATCTAGCAGAGTTTCTAATAAATTTTCCGCCCGCTAACTTAATATTTAGAAACTTTCCGAGATTATATATTTCATTCACCAATAACTGAAGGCAAAATGCATAACTTCTCCTTCACAGAATGTACAAGTGATGTCATCAAAAAATTTTTTACCTGCGAATTTCCAAACTGAACAATTTTTCATTACAAAATGAGTCTGCGCACAGAAGCCTAAAATCATTTTTATCTAAACGCAATTTTAATACAACTTGAATACTGGCAAAATTTGGAGATCTTCCAAGTAAAAGATTCAATTCAAATGTTTTTCGAAATTGACAGCAAAAATTTATTCATCAAATTACTTATGATGAGCAAGCATAATATACTATCAACTTTGTTAGGAAATTGATTAGCGACAAAAGTTTCGTATATAGATCGCTATTTTTAGATTGGTTGGATTTTGCCTAAATGATTATATAGAACAATATTTCCCGCATCATCAAAATCACATATCTTCCGTTCTTTTCGAAATAACAGGAAATTGAAGACTTCAGAGGATTTTGCATTAAACTTTCAAATGCTTAAATTATTTGGATTTCTAATTATTTGAATTTCAATCAATTATCATATTTCACATTTCATTTTTACGAGAATATCGACTGACTTTTTCAATTCATTGTGACTCGATTTTGAGCCATAGAAACCATAAAATCACAGGAATAAATTATTCAAGGAGCAAAGCTTTCTACGCCATTTCATTCTTTTTTTTTTGTTTTTCCAACTAGTTTCATTAATTTCTTGGTCGTACCAAAACAAAGTGTCAAGTTTCCAACTTTGAAATCCAAATGTTACTTATGGATCTTGCCTCGTTACATTTGACATCAAGAATCAAATTCTTGATGTATCTATGAATTCTCTATCAGAAGTTAAGTGTTGACAAATCTGGATAGAATTAAATGCTTTACTGTGTAAAGTGCATTCAAAGAATGATCTTCCATTTCAAACATTCACTTTTTGAATATTATTTCTGATTGTAAAAAGTAAAAATACTTTTTACAATCAGAAATAATTAATGAAAGTATGAAAGCAAAAAGTATGAAAGTATGAAAGCAAATTAGATTTACTAAATAATTTAATGAAGAAATTTCAATAGTGAAAACGAAAGTCAACAAGCCAATCTCGAGAAATCTTCTTAAAATCTTTTAATTCTCTACAGCAACATGCAACTTATCCTCATCTGTCCCTTACCGGTGCATAATACATGATACAAAATGCAATTTGACATCATCATAATTTGCCACAAAAGTTTTCTTCATTTCCACCTTCGTGTAATTTAGGTTATGTAATTATTGATCAGTCATTTCCGAACTCTCAAATGACCGCAACGAGAATTCGCAGGAAAAAGACATTCAGTAAGAACATTTCAAGATTAATCACATGATGAATGTAAGATAACAGTATATTTTGTTTGGAAATTTTTGAGATTGCAACGATATGGATTCTGTCATACCATTAAAGCACAGCTAACTAAAAAATTTTTGAAAACTAAAATGAAAACTATCATAATTAGACATAAGGAGCTTTTTTGCATGATTGAGACAACGAAATCTCTACGCTAACTTCCATCAATTAAATTATTTACTATAAGAGATGAATCCAACATTTAAGCAATCAGAAATGCCATACGAAATTAAATTACAGAGAAAGTCCATAAACATTCACTGCTTTACCGTATGATTTACGTCTTGCTAACTTAATCATAATTAAGCATAGTTTTCATTATGGTACGAGTATACCCGTCAGATTACTTGAAGCTGTACTCGTGAAGATTTGCTTCTCACTTTTCAAATGTAATTCATTTCTTCACGAAAAAAAGTAATTAAGAAAAACAAAAAGGAATTATTTGAAGACAATGGGTTATCTCTGATTATTTAGTTACCACTACAGCAACTAAACTCTTAAGAATCTTTTGTACTTATGAAGAATACTTCAACAAACGACAAAATACAACTCACCAAAGTGTAAAGGGCAATAAGTATAGCAGCCAAGGACAAACCACAGCAGAAACAGCTTCTAATCTGCACTTCAACTTTCGCCATCTGAGCCCCTTCTCTTCCAATTTCTATACAGAATTTTAATGATTTAAATGCGTGGGTGGCATGATCAAAATAAATCGAACACATCAAAAATTGTCTATTTAACTGATTAATAAAGTTTACAGTTCGTAAAAAAATTCACGAAATGTTTGACCGAAAAGCAATAATAGTTTATTAAGGATCAATCAAATAACGGAAATATCTCTGAAAAAATTTGATGAACATTTCATAGTTGTAATATTTATTGAGCATTTTATATTTTGTAAAAATTAGCTAGACGACTAATGAGAAAAAAAATACGCAACAGCAAATTACATCATTTGATATAAAGTAACAGTCGTGGTTAAATGTCACAAATAATACTCTGCCTCTACGGAAAAAACAGAAATTATTAATGAGTAATGCCAAGTTTATTTTAATATAGTTTTAAAGCATAAGTTGTATAAAGTATACTCAAGTAGCGAGTAGAGAACAAAACAAACGAGTAAGTAAGAAATAGCAGCAGCACCACCACAAACAGCACCTGTCAAAACAACATTGGCAGGGCGACTTGTTTTGATGACATTTAGAACAGGAATTGATGCACAGAGGGGAAAGTGTAGAGCAGTTTGGGTTTGTAAGGCAATAGCTGGAAAATTTTTGGCTCGAGGGTGAGCAAATTACAAACTTATGTGGGTGGCGACTTGGCACTTCCGCGCAAGTCAGCAAGTCAAACCGAAAATGAACCATTTAAACGGATCATCAGACCCAATTACCGACCATTCACTCAATTTCTTACCTTTCCAAGGACATATATATATATATATATATATATATATATATATATAT